GCCAAATTAAACCAAGCACACAGTAAAACGATTAAGCCTTCGTGGTGACACCATCTGCGTTACAACACGACTGTTTGTAATTTCTCTTCATAAACTGTTTGCACAAATAAAAACAACCAATCTGCTCTTTGAGGGAGAAGGCAATTTGAACTGTGTTCTTAAATAACTAATCGTATTGTGAAAAATGCAGAGAGAAGTACTACCTAAAGTCCATCCTACCCTGAAGGTGAGTTGTCAACAAATCATTGAATCCCAGAATAGTGTGGGCTGGAAAGGACCTTAAAGATCATCTTGTTCCAATCCCCCTGCCATGGGGCTGGAACAAAACAAAACTGAAAGAAATTCCATTATCACAATAAAATCTCACCACATGATCAGCTGTCTTACTCCTCAAGGAGCTACACTACTTTGAGGTAGGAGAAATACCCACGAGGAGTCTTTTGTAAATAGCTAATAATGTGGACGTCCTTGTTTCTGCAAGGGGAAGTCACGGGTTTTGTGTTAGCCTTTTCCCAGTGGTCTCCTTAATTTGGAACTTTTCTCTAGGGAGCCTCCAGCCCTCAGTGCCTTAGGTCTGCTAATATTAGGAAAACTGGAATAGAAGTGATGCGCTATCCAGACAAGGCAGTAGAAATCATGGCAACCTGGCAAGAAGAGATGATCAGCTCCTTAATTTTGGCCATTTTCTGTCTTTTATTACTGAAGTTGAAACACTGAACTGGTTCCCAATTAATTCTGGATCTTCAAGTAAAAGGAATGATCCATTGATCCTCAGGATTCCTTCACACCCATGTCAGATTATGAGTTTATGGCCTTTCTTCACTGAGATATCCCCACAAGTCTATAAATGCATCACATCTACAAACCTCTTTTGCAGAATATTAACATATATATCTTGAAAATATCTTGAAAGTGAAATTAATTTAAGCCCTTTGCCTGAACCAGGATCAACACAGCAAACTCTTCTGCAGGACAATGACATTGTTCAGCAGAGTTTCAACCTCTGCTCCATTCTCTAGAGGTCAACGCAATGAGTACTCCAAAATTTAAGGCTTACTTGCATGGTTTGGGGGTGCTTTTTTATTGTTTGGGTGCATGTGTGTATTAAAAGGTGCATTTGCCCATTCTATGAAAAGGCATTGGATCAGTCCAGAACAGAAGCAGAATACTGGCAGCCTATTTTTTTTGAAAAAAGATACAGCCACAAACCCACGAAATTCCTGAAACACATACATTTGGAATTGTTTCATGTCCTGCTAGGATTACTCTGCCAACATATACCATGAAGGAAACCACCATGTAAGTCATACCTTTGAGTACTTCTGGAGCTCTGAATCGTCTGTAATGGGCATATCCACATTCACAACCTAAAAATTGGACATCAGAATATTTTTCAATAGTAGGACAATAAAGACTTTACCAGAATGATGAATTCTGGCAAAAAAAAACCCTCATGAGCAAAATAAACCATACTTAAACAGGGTCACATTGATGCAAAATAATTCTAAACAAATGTTAGAAAAATCTTTCAGGCACAGAACATTTACAACTAGGAATGTGGTGATTATGCACTATTAGCAGACTCCAGTATTATCCTGTTCCCCAAGCCTAAACGCCAGTTTTAGTCAAGTTCAGTAATCATATGTAAGCACAAAATGCCATTATGTTTGACACCAATACCCAAATGGTCTTGCCAACCCAAATTTGAAAGTATGATAGCTTAAGTTATTACCTCAGGCTACAGTGCAGACATCTAACATCTAACCTAACTCATCATCTTCCGCAGCATGTTTCTAACATGGCTTGAAACACATGAGTTAACTACCAAATTCGAATGTAAAGTGGTTATTTTAAACAGTGACAAGGAATCTTTGGTTTATCTTCATTTTTTTTGAAAAATACTAATAAAATAACATGTCTACAACCAGTTTTTTTGTAATGTTATTAAAATAATTGATTTATCTGTAACCTTAGAAGGTTATTTACTCCCATTTTACATGTAATATGATGACATCTGTGGTTATCTGTGGCCCAGAGTTGGAGTCTGAGACACTGAGGTTGAGTATGTCAGGGAGGAATGCTACACTTGGTAGATCTGGAAAATAAATAACTTTACCAAAAAAAAAAAGAAATAAATCAGGTAACTTAAGGCTCCTTTGGAAATGTCTAGTTTAACAAATCATTTATGAAACAATACTAAGCCTCAGCTTCTTTTGCATTACTTTTCAATAGAGCTTCCAGCACCTTGTTTTCCAGTACAGACAGAATCCATTTCATGTCCATGCAGCTGTAACTGAATAAATATATGACTACATAACACTTCATGCTTAGGTAGCAGGACATAAACAGCACACGGTCATACATCCCTGTCCAGGATCTCAGCTCCTTCCACTGGCACCACAAAGGAGCAGCAACACCAAACCCTCTCTTCAAACAGCTACTTCCTCTGAAGATAAATACTCCTGGGCGAATGCTGTAGGCACCTCCAGGGTGACCTTCTGGGAGCTGATGTAGGAGTGGGAATGGTGTGACACAAGGACTGCGCTGAAGTCAAACCGAGTATTGTTACTGAACAAAGCCAAGCAAGAGCAGAGGTAGACACAGGCAACAAGAACCAAAAAATTACTTCCAAAATGGGATGCCACAGGAGCTTCCTTCTATTATTTAAAAGGCCCAATCATTAACATTTTCACTCCTGACATTTTACTGGCGGCAGCTGAAGAAGAATTAAAAACAGTGAGTTTCACCAGCTAAGCAGGTTTTCGTCCTCTGTGGGAAGTGTGATAGTGCTAAGGGAAGTAATATCAGTCTCTTGAAATGTAAGGATGGGAATACCAAGCAACTGAAGTGGGCAGCCAAACAGATTTATTGCATCATGTACATAATCTTACACGAACTTCAGATCTTAAAGGAGTGCTAATGGAAAGGAGAGAAGTGAGTTTCTCCAGGCAATTCTTAAAGCTACTTTAAATCTTCCAACAAGTGACTGGAATGATGGCTACCCCAAGTAGTAAAAACAAGTGTCTCTAAATCAACTGGACAAGCATTGCAAAGACAAACAGGGCATTTTCTTGGTGGTGGTGGTAATTTTTTAAGGCTTCGCAAAAGAACAGTGGTTGGAGTCTTTTATCTGCACTCGCTGGCTCACCCAGCACTGAAAAGCAGAAGTGAATTACAATTTCCATCAACTCCTCATGACGAGTGATCCAAACAATCTTTTGCTTGGCAATTATTTCATATGAAGTGAAGAAATATCCAATAGACACTGGCACCACAAAGTTACACTACTGAGAATTACCTCCTAGTTTCCCAGCACATTTGAAAATCATTCTTTCACCCTTCTGATAAAATTGTAAGATTCTTGTGAAGAAAGGAGCGCCATCCTGAGCCTTTTTTCCCCCCCAGTGCACAATAAAACAAATATATCATCAATGAAATCAGAAAAATGCCACATATTTTAAGTGGCTGCTAAGATGCAGATTAAAAAAGACAGCTGATTTTCTTAAATCACTGTTCCTGTCTGCTTTCTGTATAACAATAATATATATGTAACAGAATAAAATTTAAAAAAACAACAAAATCCTCAACTCATTATAACATATATTTCAGCCTTGATGTTACAGGAAGGAAAATGTGATGCCACTGATCTGTTCCAAACACTAAACTGCTCTGTAAACAGCCTGTAATGCTAAGCTCACAGATCTGTAATTTAAAGAAATAACATTCATGAACGTAGTTTATTGAAATATAACATACCATAACTTCGTATTCTGGTCCCAGCAGGTTTTCCCACTTGGATTTCAGCTCATGTGCTGGAGGGAGTGGGACTCTTCCTAAATATGAAAGTGAATATTCAATTTACAAGCATACTGTACATTCAGAAGTACATTTACTTCTAAATACTTCCATAAAAATTCAGTGTAAATAAAAGATTAGAGGGAATAATCCCCAAAAGGAAAGTGCATTAAGCTGAGTCTATCAAACAGCGCGAATGAAAAACGTCTTTCTTAGGAAAACAATGCAAAATGTCAGCTCCTGCTAACGTGTGATTTATTCAGCCGCGAAGCAGGAGAGGTGATGCTTGATGATGAGATGCGAGTTCTGCCCCACACAGTACTGTAAATAAATCATTCTTTCAGGCCGCAAAAACAAATTTCACATGACTTCATAATTTGTTGCTATATAAACCCTTTGCCACTCCAAGGAAACATCATCTCCCACCCAGATGAACCCCCTCAAGAAGTAAAACACCTGACAAGATATTGCTGTTATCGAGGGGCTGTGTCAGCACAAAGCAGGCACAGACTTTATTTATACATTTGGCAGGTATAAAGCCTTGTCTACTTTAATTAGGCCAGTAAGTAACATGAGCTTTAATATAAGCTCCAGTTCTAAACCAGTCTTCCGTGGGAACTTGGCTATCTTGACATTTATATCTTTTCAGCTTTCTTACTTATGCAACCAAGGCAGTATTACAGTCATGTAAGACAATTTGACAGAGCTAGACAGCAGAAAATGACTGGCTGCCCTGCATTTGACCTCATCCAGAAGCTCAGCTCACATATAAAGTTCCACGCCGGAGCAATGTGTAACTGGTAAGAATCAAGCTCTAAAGCAAATTCCATCTAGCAGCCACAGCAGCAGCAGCAACTGGGTCCTGAATTACCAAAAACTGCCTTTTTCCCCCCCTATGAATGACTGCAATAGTTTGTCAGATGTCTAGACAAGGCACAGACCACTTAGTGTTGCTAATGCATCACACTGAAATTTGGAATGTAAATCACAAGCTCAGGTTTTGCACACAAACTAGTGAGTAAAAAACCTCAAGGGGGGAATTTTGAAGACACCATAAGGAGCTCAGAGCCTACCTACCAGCAAAAGCCTACGTAAATGGCATCTCAAGCTGCCTCTGCTTTCATAGAATCATAGAACTTTAGGGGTTGGAATGGACCTTCATTCAATCATCCAGCCCCAACCCCCTTCCCTGGACAGGGACACCTCCCACCAGAGCAGGTTGCTCAAGGCTTTAGCCAACCTGGCTTTGAACACTGCCAGGGTTGGGGCACCTACTTTCAGCACCTTTGTAGACTGCAAAGAGAAAACTTTGCAGTACAACCCTCATGACATCATTTTATAACTTTGAAGTTTTCTGCTCATTAAAAACAATGATTTAAGTTAACTTCTAGAACAACAGAACAGATTGCTGTATATCTTTTGCTCACTTTGTCATGCCAGATAGGCACATTCTGTCTGAGAAACCACAGAGCCTAACAACTGAGATTTCACTTGGAAATATCCAGAGAATCTTTAACCTGTAGGCTCAAGGGGATACTTGAGAATTCCAGCAATCCTGATAGCTATTTTCTGCTCCCAAAAAGACACCCCACCAAAACTAAAAAAACTTGGGTTTGTAAATACAAGCCACACTTCTCTGTGAAATAAATTATATCCTTAAAAGGGAAGACAAATTGTCCCAAAATTCTCAACTGTCAGGTAAGGCTTTTGAACTTCATTGAAAATTAATTGAAGTTTCTAATGTGAGTCTTATTATCAAGCACAGGCTAATCTCTATCTTTACTTCCCAGCTGTAGCAAAACCAAAACACCAGTGCATTCTTCCACTCCTTCTATTTGTAGAAATACATAGGGACAGAAATTCCTTTGTCTCTTTTTCTGCTATTACAAAGTTAGAGCAGCGTGAACACACAGGACCTATGCACCTGCAATCCCCTGTGCAGCCAAATATAGATTTTAAGGTTCACCAGGAGCAATGAATCTCAGGGTCAAGCTCAAAGTTCAGTTTAGCAACTGTAAGCTGTGTTCAGCTGGCTGAATACAGATTTTTTTGTCACTTCCAAAACACATTACCAAAACCTGTGAGTTGCTCAGAGCAGGTGCTGATACTCGTCTCCATTTGAAGTTTTCCCCTTTCTTTCTTTCAAACACACTTTAAAGTCTTTGCTTATAACTTCCTCAGAACTGTGGTAGGCTGAAGGGATTTGGATTAAATATATTCAATTCCAATGGTATCACCCAATTCACTTACAATGTTCCTTTCTCCCCAAACAGCTTTTTCCACATGGCAGCTAATAGGAAGCTTCTTTCTAGTCTCTCACCCAGCTGAATTTCTCATGACCTGACATATGTACAATGTCTTCTATAATGTGCAAGGACTCAAAAATGAAAACACTTCCCAGGGACAGCTTTCATTAGCAACAACTTTCAGCATATTTAGTCTGTCCTTCTGCCTGCACTTCCATACAGTTTTCATTTCTAATTAGCAAGCATCAAGAATAAATCACAAATGTATTGTAAAAATCATGTTTTCTGGCCAAAACTGCCAGAATCTTCAGAACTGGGGTATTTTCTTGCAGTTTCCTCCTGGTTTCACAAACTCACTACACAGGGATGTGTATTGTGCTCCAGTGCCCCTCATTAATGCCTTATCTTTATCTACCCTACTGCTGGATATTTTTTCCCTGACAACTTGAAGCTCCTGACTCACACCATCGTATCTTTGGCTTCTGAGTACTGCTGCAAGGCAAGAGAAAGCAGTTCTGCCCACTCTGCACTCTTGCAGATGCAGCTGTTAAGTTAATTGCTTGTACTCTGCTAGCACAGAGTTTCAGACCTCGTGCATGTTGCATCCTAAAGCATGTTGCCTTTGTAACAGAACTGCTTAAAGCATGGGTTTGCTTGGCCAGAATTACTATTTAACACCTCCTCAGGAAACACAGTTTAATAAGAATTTCACACCACTGTGCTTAAAAAGAAGTCATACATGTTTTATAAAACATACCTTTTACACTGAACTTCTACAGGCATTTCCAGAGTTTTGTCAGAGCCTTACATTAGCAGTATTTACTTTAGCACCATCATAATGAAGTGCCCATCACCATGTCCAAAATAAGCACCTATCTTTGGAATTCAAACTTGGCCATTAAGTTCTATTCCAAGGTGAAATCTTATACATCATAGTTCTGCAGGAGTAAAATTTGCATCCGAGTATTTCAACTTTTTAACAGAGAGAGACACACACACACTTTATAGTTGTATAAAGCTTTTGCAAAATGTTGTAACTCAAGGCTTTTCATAGTGAAAAACCACACTTAAATCAAGCAATGATACTTGTTTCCCATTGCATTAAATGCTTCTGATGCATTACTCAGTTCCAAAGCCAAGCCCATGGCATTTTCCTGCTGGCCAAGGAGAACCAGCACAGCTGATGGCATCAAGGGCAGTATCTAACTGCAAACAAACAGCATCTCCAGTGTTTAAATTCTGGTATTCCATCCCATATAAACACATCATCCTGTATTCTCCAATGTAAGGGGGGGCCTGGATACACGGGAGAATAGAAAATCCCATAGTACACATGCTATAGGATGCAATGGGGAGTGTAGTGAAGCTCTACCACAGTGCCTCTGCAAGGAACCAGCATGGGTCCAGCCAGCAGCTAAGGATCCCAGGCAATGAAGTCCTTGTCAGGGCCAGGTGCACCTGCATCACACTCCACAGAACTCCAAGGATGGGGATTTCAGGATTTGCACAATGCTAGAATTGAAGGGGAGCCACTCATGCACATACAACTTGATTACAAACTCCTTTTGAAACCAAGGGCTATGGAGAGGCAGAGGATCCACATCAAAGCAGTTTGGGCCTGCTATGAGAAAGGCTCAAAAAACCAGTTTGATCCAAGCTGATTATCAGCAGAACAGAGATCACTAAGGCATATCTAGATAACACACCTTGAGACTAACAGTTTGTTACCTTCAAGCCAGGTAAAAGCAATTTTAGTTCTCAGCATAAACTGATCCCAGCACTGATACACCATGTTTGCACAGCACCAGGTATTAGGTGACAAATCCCTCAGAGACTTCTCTTTGCATCAGGGCAGACACCTGCAGCCTGTGACACAAGATAACCCTATCACCAGCGGTCAGGAGCTGACTACAGAGATATTATTCACTCCAGTAGAAGAAGAAAATACTTTATGCAAAGGAAGTTCCACAGTAAAAAGGGACTGGGTAACTGACACAGGACAGCATGTGTTGCTCTTTTTCAGCTTCTGTCATAGCAAGTGTAAATCCTTCTGGCTCTTCTGTCCCTAAATACATCCTACTGCTAAGCCCTTAAGTTATTAGTCAACGATAACTACAAATCAGTATGTGCTTTTCTATTCCTGCAGCTAAAACAATGCTTTGATAACCTTAAACTCAGCTATTCAAGTGCTTCTGTTCTGGCTCCCTATTTCTGGGAACACGCAGAAGTCACAACAAAGGATGTCTGGTTACAAGGCTTGGACAGAAAAGTAAAACAGAATGGAACACAGAAACTGCTACATTTCTCTCGTTTCCAGGTTGTCTTTAATACTGACAGGTCTTCAACAATCACAGCAAAATTGCTATTCATTGACAGCCGTAATTTAGAATCCTCTATTACATCTACGTCTCTTAGAAACCACAAGGCATAAGGATAATTTATGCTGACTTTTAACACAAGCTGTAGAAATTCACCCAGAAGTTTCTGTAGAAGAGCCCAGAAATCTGTAGGGGAGTTGAAGCATGCCTTCTGGAAAGACCTCCAACCTTGACTCTCAAGTCAGCTAAACCCTAAAGCCATCTATGCCTTTGTGACTTGTCCCTATGCTTGACTGCCTTTGCTGTTAAAAACATGCCTAATTTGAACTCCTGCCCAGCTCCCAATTCCAGTTATCAAGTCTTTACACCTAACAGGCAAGTTCTGATGAAGTTATTGCACTGCCAAAAGAGGAAACTGCAACAAATGGGTATCAGAGATGTTCTAGGGGAAACCAGAAGAATATTACAAAAACACTTGTCAGGAGTCTTAGACCTCTGAGGGCAAGAAGATCATAGAATCACTGAGTCTGGAAAACACCTCTAAGTCCTGGAAAAGACCTCAAGTCCAACCATTAAGATGTGTATGGCTGAGGTTAACACTGGATCTAGGAATAAATATGAACACCCAGGAGTTTCATCTGCTGCTGCTGCTCACACCCAGTAGTCTGCTTCAGGGCCCTGGCAGCAGTGGAGGATGAACAAATCTTCTCTCTCAGAAGAAGATTGCAGGCAGGACAGGTCATCAGAGTAGTACCAGGGACAGAAAGAAGAATCATTGAGCTGGAGGCTTTCAGCTCTCTATAGAGTTTTTGAGATTCATTCCAGAGCACTGAAAGGGCTGCACCTCCACGAAGGAGATCACTGTTGACTGGAAAAGGGCAAATATTATGCAAGGAGGAAGATCCAGAGAATTACAGGCCCTGAGCTCACAAGACTCTTCTTGGAATCCATTTCCAAAGACACTGATGATAAGAAGACAAATCAGGAACAGTTAATATACATTTGCCAAATACTGACCAGTCTGACAAGACAGGGATGTGGATGAAGGTGTAATATACCTCCACTTTACTGAAGCTTTTGCCACCATTTACGTCAGCACTCCCATTTAGAAACTGAGAAAGCAGAGGTTTGATGACTGCTAAACAGGCTGAAAACCAGATGGAGCACTGGAATCAAAGACAGCATTAACCAAGGGCTTGACAGCCAGTTACGGGAGGAGGTGAAGAGCTACAGGGGCTAACATGATCCAGTATCTTCATCAGTGACCTCCACGATGACACAGAATGCACTCTCAACAAACCTGTGGGCAGTGCTACATCTCATGGATAGGGTAGGGTGGAAGAGTTGATAGATCCAACAGGTAGAGCTTTACTTCAGAAAGCATTAGAGGGCAAAAGCTATGGATGGAGTAAGCCATGACAGCCCATCAGTATTGCAAATGAATTAAAGACAGTTCCAAGACTCAGAAGAGACACTGCAAGACATCCTATCTACCTGCTTTATGTAGATTCTGCTGCTTTTCATACTGGAGATTATCCTTCTGTTCTTGTTTTCCCTCATTCTTAGTGTCCACACTAATTTCAGTCCCTACAGCTCCAGGAGACACAAAGGTTGGAACAGTTGGCTGCACTGTGAAAACAGATGGAAAAAAAATATCATATGCTGCAAAATAGAGGAAATAGCAACACCACCTCATAAATTCCTTTTCTTTTTGGCGGGGGGAGAGGCTACACAGGGGTTTTGTACTCAATTTTCCTGAATCTCTCACTTTTGTTTCTTTTCATTCCTCCTTCAGTATGTCATTTTCTACACTGTGCCCTTACCAAATCTAGGATCATGTGGTATTTGGTCCTAAATTGTTACCCAAGGCAACTGTAAATGGAGTGAAAAATAAAATCAGCTGCTAGAAAAAAAGAAAGATAAAGGATTACCTCTCTCTGAATGTCCTTCTGAAGAAATTGAAGGTTTCCTTCTAAGTAAGGTAAGACGTACAGTCTCTCCAGTGTTACGCAATGCCTCCACCACTTCTTGGTTGGTATAATCCTGTATATTGACTCCATCAACCTAAACCAAAAGAATTATATCAAATAATAATGCTTGTGTTCCATTCTTAGAGTATGCTGTGCAGTATCATACACTGTAACCAACAGCCACATTATTTTGTGCAGGAATTATAGGGTTATTCTCCCAAGACAGGAGCATTTGCAAAACAATCTCATTAAATCAGTTACATTTCAGTAATGAGATAATATTTTCAAAATGCATTGTAAAAGGAAACACAACAGTAATTTCTTCTGTCTTCATGGGGTAACCACAAAACAGAATTTACTAATCTGATACAAGTATGCACAGAGTTTTTCTGAAATTTGTTTTGCTTACAAAAAACAGCTTGACAAGGATTGTGGATGAAGGTTCCCAGCAGAGTTGTCAGCCTAGAGCTCTGTTCAGTTCATTATCCCTGTTAGTTTTTTCACGGATTTCTAACATGCCCCACACAATCCTGTGCACACAGCTGTTTGTATAATCCACTCTGAACAGCTCAATTCTTCCACTAGGTTCAAACTGAAAGAAGGATAATTTAGGTTAGAAATAAGGAAGAAATTCCTCCCTGTGAGGGTGCTAAGGCACAGACACAAGTTGCCCAGAGAAGCTGTGGCTGGGAGTGTTCCAGGCCAGGTTGGATGGGGCTTGGAGCAACCTGGGCTGGTGGGAGGTGTCTCTGCCCACGGCAGGGGGTGGAACTGGATGATCTTTAATGTCCTTCCAACCCAAACCATTCTATTAATTCAGATGTTTTAATTTACACCCGAAATACTGTGTTCATCTCGCTGTTAGATCAGGCATCAATAGGGGCTTCTCCTGCAGATAAAAGATCAAGGATGTAGAAGCTTTTGCTCTCACAAAGGAGAAGTTGACTTTGGAAGGTCTGGCAGAGCACCCATTTTAAAAGTAATTTAACCTCACATCTCTATAAATATTCTCGCTTAAAGCAAAAGACTGTGGAATTCATT